AGAGAAATTAATAAGATAATTTTTTATAAAAATCTAATTGTAAAGTAATTACCAACTCCAAATTATATCCATTCAATGTGTTAAGTAAAATATATTGACTTGCAACAAAACGAAAAAATTTCAAGTCATCAATAATTTCTACACACTCAGTTGTAGCCATCAGCAATTTCCTTCTTCTTTGCATGACCATTTTTGCATCTATGTTCAAACTTTATTCACTAGAGTTTACACTTCGAGCATAGTCATCAACAAACCACCTATGATGAAATGTAGCAAACCTTTCTCATGTATTGTAAGGCTAAAAAGAGCTTCATCATTATCTTAAGAAAATTTGTCATTACCTCAAAAAAAAAATAGCTCCATCATAAGTATATTGTCTCAAACTTCACACGAAGCATCTTAGTGAATCGATGCAGTTAAATCTTCCACCCGTCAAGCGCGTACTACGTGAAGAAGGTTATAATGAAGGAAGCTAGAGAGATTGAGAGTTTAATTAGATGTCATTAAATGGAGATGGTGGTGTAGTTACAAGTTTTTTTTTTTTTTTTTTTTTAAGATAGTTAGAAGGTAAATAAGGAATAATGAAGTAGTGGTGAAAGGTTATGAGCAAGTGAAGGCAAAAAGGATAATGAGATTTAATTTGAATGAGAACTGAATATAAATACATAGTCACATAATAAGTATTTATATTATGAATCATGAGGTTGAATAAGAATTTGGGTGTAATATGCATGACAATTTGGATGAACTTTGAATACCATTTTTCGGCAGTCAAAAGTTTTGACATCCATATTTTTTTTATAAGTAGTATAGATAGATATAGATAGAGCGTGTCGAAAGCAAGGGCAGATGGTGGAAACATGAGCTGTCTACTCCAAAAACCAATCTCACAGATAATCTAATATATAACCTTGAATTACAAAAGAAATGTCATCTTAAACTAGGATTGAATAACCACCTGAAAGAAGCCAGGATTCTCCATCTTCCCCTTTTTTTAATAGAAACCACACAAATTAGTACCATTAACAAGTGATCACAAGTGATATCTAAGGGACATTTGATGCACTGTAGAGGGGCAAAAAACCTAAACCTGTACTTGTTGATGCCACATTTTCCTCCAGATACTTGTATAAAAAGAAAAATAGATTTTCTCAGTTTTTCTATTTGAATTTTTATTTTTTCACTTTCGTTATAGTAATTGGTTACTGTATTTGTTGATTTATAACCGCGGAGAGATCTGCAACGAAGCTTACCATATTTTGCAACTTATTATTTATGTGGTTTGATATAGATAGATAGGCTTCTCGGATGAAATTTTGTTTTGACTCTTTCATTGTCAGAATGGATTCACTAATTTTACCCGAAGGGTCAAAGTTTCATCCACAGTCAATTAAAGAGTAATATTAATAAATAAAAAAGGTTCACCTAGGGAGCTATACGCCAACTATATGTAAGTTTTCAAAGCGCCAAAACAACTAGAAAGTGCGAATTATCAAGTAACTTTTGCGAAATAAGGGGTTGTTTGGCAAATTAAAAGTGTGGAAGTCACTTTATTTTTGCAAGTGAGAAAATGTATCCCTATCAGCATGCAAGTGAAATTCGGTATTTGTATATAAAAGTAAATTATTGTTAGACTGTATACTCCCTCTAATCACTAAAGTTGCTATTAGTCATTCAATTATTGTATCCTGTAACTACTACCCTTGACTAAATGGATTAATTTGAAGAAACTTACGCCCCATTTGGTACGTGGGAATGGACAGAAGTGAGAATGGAATGGAAGAAGAAATGGAATGGATTGTATGTGGGAATGGAATGGACATTCTCATTCTCATGTTTGGGTACTTTTGTAGAATGAAGCTAGACTGAAAATCTCATTCTCATTCCTATGTTTGGTATCACTAGTTCACAAGTGAGAAATGGAATCTCATTTTCTAATAATGCCCTTACAACAACATATATTTTTAATAAGATAAAAATAAACATTAATGATAATAACTAAACAATTTTATTTATGCATAGATTATATTAATTTAGGTATGTGATATACTAATGTGCATGTTATCTCTCAAGTGTATGTTCAGTTTATATTTTTTTAAAACAATACTCATTATTTCTTAGTCTTAAAAAAGTCTTAAAAAATTAAAGAAAAATAAATAGAAGATTATCACATCTTTATCGGTTTAAAAAATATATAAAGAATGAAATCCACAATCCACAGTTCTAGATATATAAATTAACTTATTTGATAAAGTATCAAAATCACCCATATCATAATAAAAAAATCCATAAAAGAATACTAACTAAAATAATAAGTTTCGAAATAGCAAAATGATATACTAGCCTAAATTGCCAATCTAAAATTGCCCACTTGCATATCACCTCACCCAAACATTCTTCAAATCATCACTAAGTGTGAAAAGAAAGGTGATGCCGAGCGTGGAGGTGACTTCAACGGAAGAGGCGATGCCAGGGCGGAGGCAACGTCGGAGGCTCTGAGTTCGAGAGGCGGTTGAGGCGGCGTAGTAAGAGGTGGAGGAGGAGGGATTGGGGTTGGAATTGATGTAAGGAAGGAGAGGCGACGACACGACGATTTCAAAATAGAAAGGAGAGGCGGCATTTATTTCGGTGCAGGCTAAAGAGAGAGAAAATGTGATTTACATTCCCTAATACGTAGTCAAAGAGCAATTATTTTTTGGTTTATTTTTATTATTAATAAGGGTATAATTGAATAATACCTAACTGATTTGATTCTCCCTTGAATGGGAATGATCATTCCCTATCTTCTCACTTGGAATGGTCATTCTTTGGGAATGATCATTCCAACATCTAAAAAATAGGTTTGTTTGGTATGAAGGAATGAGAAGTGAGAATGTCATTCCATTTCACCACATTCCCGTCTATAAAAGAAATTACAAAAATTTACATGTCAGTAGCATATGATATATTAATTGCATATAGTTAGATATTATGATTTTATACATGTTCATCATCCGTTTGATCAGGCTCGTTTCTGTAAAAGTTTTCATGATCCTTTGGGGAGGTTTGCTAATATTTGAAAACATTCCATATATTTGATATATAAAGGTTTAGTATAGATTGAAATAAATGTATAAAATTATATGTAATCATATCTATTAAAAACTAATATACCTGCATCCTAATGATGCACTATCTTGTTCTTCACCTTCAGAGTCGTTACTTCTTTCATCTTTTTCAGTCGCTACCCCTCTTAACGGCCTCATATTTTCATAAGGGGCTTCATTGTTCATAACACTTGACATCCCGCCAAATGATGGTGCACTTAGATATTGAAATTGAGCGCTCCATTTCACTCGAAGAAGAAAGAAAACCGTCATACTCAACTCCCATGCGTGAGAATTCTCCTAGAGGTTTGAACAATTGGCACGAACTATATGTAAAATTTTCAATAAACAATTCTACTGTTGGTTGCGACTTGCTCAAATTAAACATAATACTCATTTGATGATCGTTTGATATCTCAACTGCAAACGTTTTATCAAAGTTATGGGTCAATTTCATATTATTTTTAGTCTTTACTCTTGTGGATCAAGTTTAGTAACTCGGCGTAATTCCTTAATCAAGTTATAATAACTAAATGATTCCGAGATCATTAACGACATCGTTATCCCTCCGACGTACATTGACATATTATTCATTCCATAATTAATTTTTCCATCGTAAGAGCAAGCAATAAAAACCATATTGTTTAACCTATAAAAAAATTAGATTATATCATTTAAATGCAAAAAAAAATAAAAAAGTTTTATCAGGCCATTGAATAAGAGAGGAAAATCTTAGATGCAAATAATCTCATAATCTTATAATTACACTTTTGATCAAAAACCCTAAACCCCAAAATGAAAACCCTCAACCCTAGAAACGAGCATTCTATACCCTAGAATTTTAATTTCAATTAAAGCAATCCACACGCAAAGAATTTGAACCACCACAAAGATAGTGATTGATATTAAATTTCAAACCCTAGATATTAAATTTTGATGAAAATCCTAGATTTATATGTTGAAAAAAAGAGAAAAGCTCTAGATTTTTTTAGTGTTAAAAGAGGAGAGAAGGAAGAAAAAATTACCCTAGAGATCTTTTGCAAACTTCCTCGATGAATTTCGGCAACAAAAATGGGGTTGAGAGACTTGGGTAGGCAGATGAATGGCAGAGACCGGAGTTAGAGAGAAAAAATCGACTGAGGGAAGAGGAGAGGGGATCGGTTTGTATATATTTAAGAGGGCGGGACCCACCAAAAATAATCCAGGTTGGAAACCTCGACTATTTGGTCCCTTAACTGATTGCATGGGCGAGGGAGAGACTGGCAAATGGTAGGGGGCGGATGGACTCTCACTGCCAAATGGTCGGGGTTGGGAACCCGATCAAAACAATCGAGTTTCTCAACCCCGACTTTTTTTAGCTCTGCTAATCACACAGAGGTTCTTATGGTAGGAAAGGGTAGTCCTAATTAGTCGGAGTAACTCTAACCACGACTAATTAGAAATTTGTTTTTTTTTAAACGATCTAGTTTCTAACCACGATGCTGACATGACCAGAAACTGGGTCGATTTTTGTGATAAAGTAGAATTGTGTCAAATTTTGAAATGAAAGTGTAGATTGGGTCTATTTTGAAAATTTCTTCTTCATTTTTACCCTCTCATTTTCTATACATGTTTTTCAGCACTCAAAACTCAATTGTATCATCTCCAACAGCTCGTCTATTTCCACCGGGATCTGATACATTACTCGGAAAATGTCAGGTGCATTACAGTTTTCAAATCAAAGTCTGAAGGCAGATCTAATATCCCTTTATGGGAAAATTTCACAAAATACGCCCTCAGTTTGGTCTATGCCAAAAAAACCCTCAACGTTAAAAAGGGAGTTTGTACATATTAAAATAGTTGATGGAAGCCAAACATAAAGGTTTTCTGTCAAATTTACCCTGCTTTTAAAGCTAAATAAGTAAAAGCCGGGGGTGTCTTAAAGGTCACACTCATTTTGCAAATTTGATACGTCTACATTTACAAAATGGTCTTATCACTCATCCATAGCAGACTCCATTTTCTTACAATACTTTATCTTTATATATTCAAGCACCACAATAGTTTGTATAATATTCTCAGAGTAAAATACGAGGGAAACATTTTCCACCAGCAATCGGCAACAGCTTAGGTTCTTCAATGTGCCCGGTCTCTGAGAACCTCGATGTCGAGTTCAGTTGGATCAGTTGCTTGGATTTCATAATGAACTCCATCTAGTTCTCGCCTGAACCGTTCCTTTGAAGTAGCATACAGCATCTTGGCTCGGATGCGAGACACAGACGGAGACCTGTTTCATTGAATATCTAAGATTAAGGGAAAACATTTCCATGCTGAGAAGAAAGTACAGATAAATTTATGAAGCACAACAAAAAATTCATGATTCTATTCGAGTTTTTGCATCAATTAGTTGATCATACCTTCAGTTAGTACTGCAGAAATAATATGAACAGAAAGCTCATGCTGGTGTCAGGAAAGACGTACAAATAACCAACCATCTAAAATAGGCTGAGTAAGAGCCAATTCAGTGCCAGTCCATCAAAGAAATTCATCATTGCATTAAAACGTTTGTGATTTTGTTACAGACCAACTTTCTCAGAACAGATGTTTGTTTCACAGCCACTGTAGGTTGGTAGAAATTGACATGCTGCAATCATTCCGGTTACTATGCCACACGTGTCATTAGCATTTGCAACCCAGCTTGCAAAAGAGGAAACATATTTAACAGCGTAAACCTTTCTGCAAGTAGTTTTTGCAATGTTCATCAAAATCAGGTTGCTAACCAGCAAGTTGACTCAGCCCACTATATAATTTAAATGACAAACTCATCTAACAAACCATCACATTTCAACAAGCTTGAATCGATGATTAATGGTCAATGCTTTAGGTTTTGAATATATCTCTTTTGTCATGGAAAGCCTCGTCCTCATCTAGGAGTCTATTCGTAAAAAACCCATCCCCACAAAATCCTCATGTAGCTGATTCTAGAAGTGGGTCACTTATTTTGACAGCTTCAATTGGCGGGAAAAACATCACCACTAAGGCCAAGAAATTGAGGAGACCGAGGGCCATGAGAGTTCAAGAGGTCAAAAAACATAGCACTGAAAGAAAATCAGCAAGATTGGAGGAAGGAAGAAGGAAAAATACAGATAGCAAGAGCTATAAAAAGATACGAGTGCTTGTCTTCCACTTGTTCTATTTTCACCTTTTGGTTTAAGGGAGGGACAAGAGGATTTCAAGTGAGGATAGATCACAAAGATAGGACATTGAAGAAGTTCCCAATTTTGTATCCAGAAC